AGATTCAAGAAATTACTTGAGAAAAATAATCTTTGGAATGATCAAAATGAAGTTGAATATGTAAATGAAACTAAAAAACAAGTAAATATATTTAAACAATATTAATTTATAAATAAAACCGTAGGTACAATTTTTATGTTCATTATGTCTTTTTTAATTTATTTTAGTTGATGCAGTCATTTACTATTGCATCGAAAAAAAATAAACCGAATTGGAAAGAAATGTTTAATGATGTGTATCACGAAATTCCAGATAATCTATTGTAAGTATAACTATGGAAATATAGAGAGAGAAATGTAGGCTGTAACAGAAAAATTTGACAAATGAAATAACTTGTATTCTAATCGAGGGTTAGGTTAGGTTTTTAATTTTTCTTCCATATAATTACGCGTGTACTACACGTATTAATTACTTACTATTATCTATTAATTATATGAAAACTAAAAATAAAAAATATTGATTAGAACGCAAGTTATTTAATTTATCATATCTTTCTGTTACACTATGTAGTATTATATTAAACAAGTATTATTAATACTTTTAAATTACTTTGTTTTTATTTGTAAACTTAAATGTTTTTGCCCTGGGTAGGAGATTTTTTTCCAACTGAGATTAATTTTTGTTGAGTTTTTGTTGACATAGTTACTTAATAGATATTAACAAAAACATATTTATGATTATGATTCATAGATTTTCTTTGTAGCTTAAACATTCAGTAAATATATCAAGTAGAATGGTACTTTGCATAGATAATGTTTTTTTTTTAAATTTTTTTATCAATTACAAGAAATATACATAACACAAATATAGCGAAATATTACTAGAAATTGATCTGAGGTAAAACCTCCTATCTTAGAGCACGAATTATTTTTTAAAGCTAAACAAAAGAAAGTAAAATAATAACAATAATGATAACTAGAAAACAAAAACGGTTCTTACATTAAACATAGAAAGTGGATAATAAATAATAATTAATATAACGAGTGATTAAATACACATAATTTATTATAACATAATTATTTTGTATATTAGATCATTCTTATTACAATAACTTGGAATTTTGTTCCCTTTTTCTTGCCTCTTATTATAATCTATTTATATTATGTTATTTTTCGATTTATATTACCGTGGAATTTTTTTTTATTAGAATTTCTTAGTGTAAACTATAAACTCGACAATTACAATATCGTAGTAATATAAATATAATACACCGATATTACACCTATTTTACAACATAAATTAATATGAATATACAATTAACGGATTATTGTAATCATGAACTACTACCAGCAGTATTTAACCTTCGTAATTAAATTATAGTTGTACCACTTGTACATATTATAATATTATTAAATAATTTACTAAAAGAATTAGAATGATTTTGATAAAAATGTTTTGTAATTTTTATTTTACAGAAAACAAATGAATTCACTGGAAGATCATCTATCAAAATATTCTGATCGTTATTCTAAAGAATAAAAAGTAAAAGTGTAAAAAATATTGTTGATTATTATAAGTTATAATTGTATAATTTAATTATATATCATCGTTAAAGATTTGATGTAAAGTACTTATATCTATGCTTAAAGTATTAAAAAATAATACATCATACTTATTCATAGTATATGTTTATGTTATATTATTTCGTTTCAATTACGTTAATTTATTATTTAAAAAAAATTGTATTTTTACTTCCAAGCACGAGTCTAATTAGACTAACAATGAAATATTTAACATTCTTTGTTATCGATAAATTGTTTTTAAATAATGTAGGTACTCACTACTCATAAGACTTTGATCTATGCAGAGATCGTAAGTTTTTAGTTGGAAAGAAATGACGTGCCAAAATAAAAACCGAAATACCGTCTAATACTAATACTGAGATGCTCGATATTCGATCCGTAGGACAGATATTCTCGCAAACCAGCTTAAACCCGTTACACACTGCATCACTGGTCGGTTTCCCATTGCACAACCACCCCAGAGTCCTCCCGACTTTCGGACCTGGAGTCATGTACAAGTTGCAGCAACTTAGTTGCTGTCTGCGAACGCTTATATTTAATATTCGGTGAAAAACCTGCTTGCAGGACTATCTCTAACCGCAACTCGAGCCTCGAAGACATCTTTACCGCCCACCAGCGGTCATGAAACCCTTGGATGTGAAATCCAGCTTTCGCTAGAAATATAGTAGTGATAACTGATAATAAAGCAGTGATAACGGATTGTTTGATCATATTATTTAAATATAATATACGATTTAAAATTTAAATAATAAAGTGGTCACATATTATATGCGCATAAATGCATAATGTATAATGGTAAATTGTATGAGATATAAAATTTATCACGATTCATAATTAAATATACTGCATTAGGTACCACATAATATATTTTCCAAAATACGTAAAAAAAAAGAATTATTTATAATGTAGTGTGGTACAAGGGTTGAAATTGCAACTTTCAACTGATGTGATACCTGTGAGCCGTGGCAGTTGTTTAATAATGATCTGTTTCTGAAAACGTCCAGTAAAAATTGCGTTTGAAATCGTAATAAATATTGATAAAAAATTAGGTGTGTAATGTAGTATAATATAATATTGTTTTACATGCTTTGCATAAACATAAAGTTTTGCCGGCGTATAGTATATGCAAAATAGGTACATTAATGCCGTATGCGCCACATGAACGAAACTATGTCGGGTTGCATACTTGCATGACCGATCAGTGATCTCTAAACTTTTAATGAACCAATAGTGAACTAACTGTCCCTTAAACGTAATTGAGTGGCTCATGATTGGTCATTAAATTTTATTGAACCATTAAATTAATCATTTTCATGCAACCGGATATTAGTATTATAATAAGTCAGATTAAGTCTTACCTATTCGGCTATTCATGTGTCACGAATAATATGGCATGTGAAACGATTAAACGAAAACCAAATGTGTGCGCCTGAGGTACTTTGTGCATTATGGACCGTTACACAAGTGCGCCTTTACAACTCGAGTAAGCAACTCTATGTACCCGACACACGGAATGAATATCGACACGAAGTGCCAAATATGACAACGACAACGTAATGACTAGTGACTGCAGTCTACAACCAGATCCTTGGATAAAGGAAGTTACAAAGGAAAAGGAGCACGAATCAAGTCAGTCATGATTCCAGAATCCCTGCCGTAGATTTGGTGTGGTGTTATGACCACAGTCCACAGGGCGTAATTATAATAATGAACCAATAACCACAGAATAGAATAATAACTATTATTAACTAAAACTCATTAGCGCAAATCTCAGGGTGCTAAGGGTGCTTAGCACCCTGAATTTTAATGCTAGCACCCCGAATCCCGTGATTATAACTTATAGTACTACTACCATAATATTTCCATAATAATTATATTTACTAAAAAAATAAAATAAAATTTATTTAATAATTTTTATTAATAATATGTTAAGTGTATGTCTGGATAAATTAAACTATTATGAGTTAAAACATATACTATATAATATGTATACACTATACAGTATATATAATTATAATAAAAAATAATTGTATTAATAAACATTGAACATATAACGATATCGAATATGCCCACCTACACAGACCGCGACAAAACTATTTTAATACTATTCTGTAGAATAATTACTCATACATTGCCCTACGTCGCCAGCCATGGCAAAAAAAGTACTATATATAGTATAATAATAATGATTCCACATTAAAGGATTTGTTTTCAATAAATACTGAGTGTTAAAAGTCTGAAATGATAGTTGCTAAAAACTGTGAGATTCAACTTACTGAAAAATTTGGGTTCATAAAATTAAAACAGGTAATCAGTAGGTACCTAAAACGGTTAATCAACATTTATTTAAGCTGCTTAAAGTTATTCACATTAAAAGAGATATACCTAGTTCTTAATAATGAAATTATTTTAAATAAATGTGTTGAAAATAAGTGTACATTGCCACTAAATTTTTAACAAATAAAATAAATTTGTTTCGCCTAAAAAGTTTGGATTTATAGTTAGTTGTAATTTATTAATATTTATATATATGGTGTAGTTCTAGGGGTGTGTGGGGGGCATAGTCCCCCACACGTCTGTTTCCACCAAAATTTGTTTGGTGCTTAAGCCCCCCCCCCCAAAATTTTCGAGTGATTTGCCCCTATGCTAAAACTACTTATAAGTTACATCTACGGTGTATGAAGGTACATGCAATAGCGAGAATCTAGTCGAGAGAGCATCACAATGGTAGACTGGACTGTCTGAACTAAACGACCTGGGCAGTCAAGCACATAATATTAAGGTCGCTGACTTAAATCTATAAAATGCGTAAACTTCCTATATTAACAGTCTATATTAAACATAGAACAAGTAATATTATAGTAAATTTACTAGTGAATATTTTTTTAAAAGTCAATGGTTTTTAGTGTTTTGGGCATTTTAAATTAAAATAAGATATCATATATTTTATATTTAAACAATGATTTGAGGTTTTGTTGTAATTCAAAAATAATATCCATGGGCACTAGACAATTTTAAGTATATTATAATATTTTATATTTTTATACACACAATAACGTTTTCAAATCCTATTTTATCAGCAAAATAGATGTATTTAACCCACTTTATAAATATAGTGTATTACTAATATCTAAAATTAAAATAAATTACTTTAAAATCAATAATAACAAAATATACTTGTGTTTTTGCTCAGAATTGTTTTTCGTATATACAATGATTAAGACCGCTTAATGACCGGTATGATTACCTACTTGCCCAAATTTTCAAATAATAAATATTATTTGATAAAAGAATCATCCTATGTATAAATGTTAAGATTCTAATTTTAATTTTAGCTTAATTCTTAACAAACTATATGAGTTAACGCAAGTTTTAATATTTTGTAATATTTAACTAAATATACAATACAAAACAAAACAAAATCAACAATCATTACAAATGTCGCATAATAATATATTTGATATTTCTATGGTAACCATGAACAATTTTACAAATAATTTTTTTTTATTAAAGAATTTCCTCATTATTTTTATAATATATTTGCATATTTCTATTTTGAAAAAATGTTTTTCCATATTCAAATGTAGATACCATTATGGCACATGCAGGTGCTACTTTGATTATCCGTGGAACTAATCCTCTAAAAATTGCACGAGTTCCATTTGTTTGATATATGTCAATAACTGCTTTAACTGTCCACTTGGAAGCTTTTCTAGGAGGTTCTGAAATAACTACTAAGTATTTAATTTATTCAAATATAGAATTTACTTATTATATTATTGCTATTTTTATTACTAACCTGTAATAATTTCTTTTTCAGTTAATTCAATTTGACGAATGGTTTTGACAACATCAAATGGTGTTGTTAATGCTGCAGCCAACTAAAATATTTAACATTTATTTAATTATTGGAAAATACAAAAATATATTAGATTACAAAAAATAATAGTGAATAGATTTTGGAATGAATTATTTCATAGATTGTTTTCTGATATATTTCTGCATTATTTAATTTCTTAAATTTAATAAAATTTAATAAAATATAAGAAATGAGTTTTTAAACAGATTCATCCATTGAGATATAATATGAATGAATTAAGGGGTTTTTTTTACACTTATTCAATTTTTTTTTAAGTAACAATTTTAGTTAAATCAAACTTAATTACCGCTCCAGCTATGCTCCCTGCTAAAAAGTTGTACATAAATGATGTTGGTTGGCCTGATATTTGTTTAATATGTTCATATGTAACCCAATATAAACCTTAAAAAAAAACATCAAATTAGAAATAATTTATACAAGAATTAACTGTAGAAAATAATAAATATATTTAAATAATCAACGTTCAAATTTTTAGTACCTTATTTATAAGGACTTTAATAACAATAAACAACAAAATTCTAAAACCAAATTTAATAAAAAAAAAGTTTAACTCACCAGAAAAAGGAACATCTCTAAGTAGAGTAGAACCTAGACCTTTCCATAGACCTTTATAACCATGATACTCTAGTAAACTTTGTAATGCTTGATGTACTTCTAAATAACTAAGTTTTTTTGATTGCATTTTGGTACGGATGAGTTCTAATGGACTAACTGATGTAGCAGCTCCAAAACGGGCAACACATCCTGATATACCAGAAATCCACAATGGTTGATTTTGATTATTGTTAGCATAAAATGGTTTTGTTAAATCATGAAGATAACATCGTATTTGTTCATATGATACAAAATAAACAATTGTGGCAGGTACTGCAAGTATCAATGTTGGACTCAACCCACTCCATAATGACCAAATTCCTTCATTTTTGCTTATTTGTTTAAAAGCATCCTAAAAAAAATTAATTTTTTTTAAGATTTTTAAATTATTTTAACAAGCTAAAATATCTTTACAAGAGTTCCATTAAATTGGCTGGGCCTGTTGTACCATTGGATATTTCTGTAATAAGGACTATCAGAGGTATTTTTTTTTAATGTATTACATGGACAAATATGGTCCATTAATCCATTGGAATAAAAAAAACATGTATGTTTATTTGTTATTCTAGATTGTGCTTGCATGCGAACTTTTATAACATCCAATGGAGTAACTAAAAAGTATGTAAATTCATATTATGATTCAATTTTTAAATATATTATAATTTATAATACAAACAAATAACTAACCAAAAAATGAAGTAATTAAGGCTCCTGTACAGGCAGCAGCCATTTGCTGCACTGGTTTTATTCGAAACTGAGGGTCATCGATCAATAGTTTATTATTTGAGTTATATTTAGAATCCATGACTTTTTAAATAATAAGTTGATCTAAAAAAGAAATGCTGGTTAAAAAGTATAATAAATATCTATTACTTGTATTATTTATCTTCATCATTGTAAATTTTGAAACAAATACTAGTTTATACTATTTGAAGGAACCTCAGTAGAGTAAGAAGCTGACAACTATTAAATCGGTTTATTATTCATAACTTAAAGAAAAAACTATTATAAAAGTAAAAATAAATTACTTGATTTCTAGTACATACTCACTAATCGTGTTTTATTCATTCAATACAATAGATAGCTATAAATTAGACGCTCCATTTTTTCCATAGCCATTATAATGATATTAATAAAATAGAATATAACACAAGTTAAGATGAAAATACAGATTACAGTTTCGTAATTAATAAGTCATTATGTTTCAATATAGTACGCCGAAAAACGGCTACTGATTTTGAATTGATGTTTAATAATATATTGAATTTAAGTCAATAAGTCATGAATTTCACCTTCGCATGGTGACTACTGTGCATGATTGTGAACCGAGCGAGTACTAAACTACTAAATCGAACGTTTGAATTAGTGCGAAGTGAACGATTATAGTGATTACCATAGAGCATTATCATGGGCAATTGGCAATTGGCATACTGATTACTGGCAACAGGCAAGTGTCAATATTCCGGCATTAGAGCATACCCGCATAGAACATAGAAACACAGGCCACAGATCATAATATAAATTATTTTCTGTGATAGAAATGGCCAGTCGTGGGTGTTACACACAGATTTCTATCTAATAGTAGAACATGATGGAAATAATTATTTCTATCATGGTATAGAAGTCTGTGGTAGCGTGGTGTTACGTTGTCGTTTGCCATATTGGTGATTACAAACTGGTTAGGTTAGTACACAATATAGTGATAAACTGATAAACTGATAAAAGAGAATTTTTTGAAAAATATTAAATAATGTCATAAAATTGAAAATTGAGAATTGTGCGTTAAGCACGCTTAGAATAACTGAATTCTGTGCTATAGGCCCGTGCCTATGTATATATTTATGTATCATTAATATATTTTAACTGATATTATAAAAACTTACGAGGAACGTTATAGAACATTTCCAGCTTTTTGGACCAATGAACAATTTTGTATCGATATTTGTAGAAAAACGCTAACATTTATTAAAAGTTATTGCTGTTCAAAACGAGTCAAAATATTTTGAAAATCACAAAATATACAATTGGTGAAATAAATATTTACATTTATTAGTTTTTGAGTTGCAACAAAAAAACCAAATCAGTTCCCAAAAAATACCCATTTTTCCTTAATTCTTTTTCTTGGATTTTCCTGATAATTAAAAAAAATTCTGAGAATTTTCAATTACTATCTCGTGAAAGTACTAGCAGAGGTTCGTTTTTATTTCAGAAACTATCCTTAAAGTTGAACATCGCATCAAGTAGTAAAATCTGTATCCAGACACAAAAAAAAAAAATAATAAAACACTTAATTCCAACAATACATTCATCTCTCCACGCAGAATCTAGTGGCGGATCTATCTCCGTCATTCACCCTCCGTAATAACTATACCATTAATGGACATTATATTACCAAAGTATCATATATAGTCTATGAATTATGATATTACTTAAAAGTATGTCTATTCCTATAGGCTATAGTATAAATAATAATATGTCCAAGGAAGACAGCTCATGGGAGATTATTGGAGACCTTGGTTCTATGATTCGAGAATAAATGGTCTTAAATATTATATAATGTTCATGGATGTCTTACAATGTTTAAATAAAAGTATAAGTATTTTTTACCTTATGGTATAAGGTCTATGATAATATTATATAATATAAATTTTCGGTGGATAGGTAGTGGTTGGGATCTAGATTCGGGACGATGAGAGTCTCATCTCTCATCATGAGACTAGATTATATCAGTATTATGTCAATGATGATTGATGGGATATTGAGATCGAAGGTCCACCATGTTGGGCCACAGTGTAATTAATAATATTATAATAAGACATTATTTTATTATCTATAGGTCAATGTACGACAGTCATTGACTGTCAAGATTGGAAATATTCGTTCGTCCGAACACTCCGAACCAGTGTCAAAAATAAGCTCCCTCGTTTGTCTTTACGCCACAGAATATTTTTAACCTTGAAAGCCAGATCTGTACAGTGACCTGAGTTTGCAACAGATAGAGAAGCTTGATATTTCTATCTTAAACCGTGGTGTGCAACATATTATTATCATTGATATGGTTCAATATTCAGGGGATTTTTTTTTGGTTTGGAGTCTTGTTCCTATGTTTGATTGTAGTTCTGAGTTCTGACCATGCCTTAGTTTATGGCTAGGTTAGAAAAATCAATTCAGATCTTGGTCACCACAGAAATAATGAATATATTGTGTCATGTATACTGAATAATTTATACAGGGTGATTACTGATACACCAAGTATGAGTAGTATGATTATTGCTCAAGCTCAATCCATTTTTTCCTTTAGACACAAACTAAACTTAGATTTTTTAAATTTTCAAGTATGTATGAAGCCCCGTCCAGACCAAACAAAAAATTGTTGCCAACAATGTCAGGAGCATATTTTTTTTTGGGCTTGACCGGGTTTACAGAATACAATTTTAAAAACATGCATTTTTTTGATATTTTAAGTGTCCTTTGGAAGTACAAACTTATTTTTTCAATATAAACTACCTACCATTTGCTAATATAAATTGTAAAGTAATACATTTTTGATATTTTCTAAATCTTAATTTAAACTAGTAGATCCTGAGTAAACCGCTAAACTTTAAGTAGATACTAATAGCAGTAGGGATGCAGAATGAATTTTTATTAACTATTTTTTTATCCCGTATTATGGATAATAGTCATGAATAATTCATAATTATTATGATAATAGGTTTGAAAGATTGGGGGCTGTGATGATTAAACAATTATACTAACTATTATAGTCATTTCAATTAATTAATTTAGGTTTTATAATTTGTAAACATTTTCCTAGTTGTAACAAGGTACCTATTAGACTGAATAATATTTAAAACTTTAATTGTTAGTAGATAATAATGAATAACTATGAAACTACTCATTCAAATTTTGATTTAGCTAGTCAATATTTCATCAAATTCATCTTATTTATAATTTGTGGGTTATTATTGATGTAAAAAGTTCTTTAATAATGTGAATGACAGATTATTTAATATCTATGAAGTTTTAAAGTAAATAAGCTTTTGTATATCATTAATTATTTTTTTCATCATTAGTATTTTTTTAAACTTTTACTAATAATTACTTGAGTTAAGTATAATGTCACTTTTTTAACTTTACTTAAATAATTCAAATCAACATTTAATTTTTTTTTTTCATATAACAAAATATTATGCTCATTAAAAATCTAAATATATCTTAAAAATGTTTATATTTAGGTGAATCAGATTATTCTATTGTGCTTAGTTTTTAGATATTTATTTTTTATTACATAATTGTCAATTATTTATAAAAATGCATACATTCAATCACACTAAGTACTCTAATGAGTTACAATGATATTTATTTTTTTTTAAATAAATAGGGCTATCATACCATATGTGCTCTACCGTAGATTGCAGTCTACTTGTGATTACGAGAAGCTTGTCGTATGTACTCTATACCATATGTAATTCATATCTTTACAGTTTATTATGTTATAACCTAAGCTTCACGATTACAGGACGCTTATTGTATTTATATCTTTACTATCGAGAATTAATGGTAATAAAGATTAGCAATATTTGGTAATGCATCGTATAAGTTTTGATCGTAGATAAAATTTCAAAATCACATACCCAAAGAATCAAAAGTTTGTGGAGACCTCTGAGGCTAAAAAATTGTGAAAGATATGTGTGGTACAACTCCAGATTTGCTTCCAAGGTATAATATTATAATATAATAATAATATAATTACATACCTATTTATAATATAATAACTATTACAGGTATCTTATTGAAACGTGGCGGAGAGGTATAAATAAAAGTGATACATTGAACGTGTTTTGAGGGACATGGCACCAGTATTTTTATTTTTATTTAAAATTTTTATATTTATAATTAATAATGAAACCAATAAGTAATAACGAGGCAACGACAAACTTCGATAATATTATATAATAATTTGTAATTGCAATACCTAATATATTACTTACTTATAAAAATTTTTGTTAGGCATTTTAACCAATTTTACATGATCCCATTTATGACTTAGTACAAGAATAAATTGTCTACAATCTTAATATAGTTGTAGAGTAACATGGTAGAGCGCATACAAACAGTAGAGCGCATACTACATGATAGCCATAAATAGATAACATGTATTGTAGAAAATAAATTTAAAAAAAAATATAGATTACAAGTAATTCATTTTATAAGATAAAATAATTAATATAAATTATTATCATATTTATATAAATTGACTAACTAAATATTAAAATTATATTATTCAACCTTGAAGGATTTATGGATATTATGTTAGGATTAAATTATGCCAGTTTCTAAATAAAAGACACAATATTTTCCTTACATAATTGTATTTATTATAAAAATTGTATTCATATTACTGTAAAATAAAATAATAAAACACAAATTGTTCAATAATTCTAGAAAATAATTCCTAAACATAGAATAATTTATATTTTCCATACAAGTGAATGAAACAATGTAAAACATAAAAAAATACAAGAAGCAGATAATCAATTAGCAAAGTAAGGGTGTTACTTAATAAAACAAACTCATAAAGTTTAAAAGTGCAACTTACTACAATATAGCATACAATGAATTATTTAAATAAAAATATTTGTTAAAATTTCGATAAAATATCACATTAAAAAAAATTATATACTTAAATTAGTCAATGTAAAAACTATATCTTTCTAACATCAATTTTTTTTTTAAATACTTAATTACATTTAGAGAATACTACCTATAGTATGGACGGAACGTGTAAATAATATTTGAGAATTAAGTATAAATATATCTTATAGGTAAGAAGTTAATATGTTAAGGTGAACATAATCAATTTAATTAGACAATTTTATATTTATTTTTAAAATTTCACCTTTGAAATTTAACAACCACCTTGAAGTATTATACTTAATAATCAACAATTATTTTTAAGGCAGTCTGTAAGTTAGCTTATATAAAAAAAAAAAATGAGATTCACAACTTAAAATCAATAATCATAAATGTCATAGTCATTGATAATAAAATAAAACGTTTACATTTTAAACATAACCCATAACATTATTATAAAATATTTAATTTAATTAAATGTTTAAAAGAGAAAGATATTATAAAATACTGATAATAATGAAAATGGAAATAAATCATAAACATGTGTTTAATAAAATAATGGTAAGTATTAAATATTATTTAAAATAGTAATAATAAAGTAAAAACAACAATAATTTTTTGTTTTAATTGCAATGTAAATCCAAATTTACCAAACACACTCTAATACAGTGTAAATACTGGTATTAATAACCAAAAAATAAAATCTGCTAATTGGTTTCATTTGATTTGTTCTTCCATCAATAAAATATTAATGTTTTATAAGGTTTAGAACCCATATAAAAAATAAGAAAAATTCACTAATAATCAATTTTGAAAATTATAGTTTGATTAAATAATAATAATGATAATAAAAAAAACTAAATTAAATAAACCATTCTCGTTTTTTCTGTACTTGGTGACCAGTGGTTGAATGTATAACAGCATCATCAGGATCTAATGCTATATCAGCACCTCGATCTTCTTGGGTAATATAATCACCTTTATGACGAGCCACATA